TTCCACTTCCCAGAGTGCTAGGATTATAGGCGTGAGCTGCCATGCCTGGCTGGATTTTTCTTTAATATTTCGATTTCCTTAGTGAATTTTTCTTCCAAGTCTTGTATTTTTTTTGTGGTTTCTTTGTGTTAGGTATCGATTTTATCTTGCATATCATTGAATTTCCTTACAATCTATGTTTAAAATTCTTCTTCTGTCATTTTAGTGTTCTGAATTTGGTTGAAATCCATTGCTAGAGATCTGGTGTTCTCCTCTGGGCATGTGTTTTCATCTTGATCCTTCATACTTCCATAGTTCTTTCAATAATTCCTTTCCATCTCAAATAACTATTGCTTTTTACCTTTGGAATTTTGTTTAGGTAATTACATGTGCAGTTTAGTCTTGGAGCCAGCCCAGTTTAGTCTCTGAAAGCACCAGTAGGTGGTGCCTCTGAGTGAGATTTGACTATACCCTGTGTGATGAGTCAGTAAATGTAGTAAAGTGTGTACAAATTAACCTCCCTGTCAGTAGGTGGTGCTTGCTGGGATGGTTAAGCTGCAGTGTTGTTTTTGGGTCCTGTAACCAGCTCTTGTTCCTCTGGAGTAAGGGTCCTCAAACTTTTTAAGTAGGGGGCCAGTTCACTGTTCCTCAGACTGTTGGAAAGTGTGGCACACATTCCACACATGTGCACTGTGGGCCTGGGATGTGTCGGCTGCTAAGCAGGACAGGCAACGGTGGCAAAAACACCTGGTGGGCCAGATAAATGTCCTCAGCGGGCTGCATGTGGCTTATGGCCGTGGTTTGAGGATTCCTGCTCTGGAAAGAGTCTCTAGTGCCTCAGGTGGTGGGTGGGGCCCTGGAATTTCCAGGTGTGTCCTTACTTTCCACTTCAGTGGGGCAGGTGGGGGAGTAAGGCTGAGCAGAGCTGGGTTGGGTGAGCCTGCCCTTAAGCTCCACAAATGCTCTTAGCAGGGGTCAAAGGTCTGTTCTCTGCTTCTGGGCAAAGCTGTTAGTGAGAGGCTGAAATTACCCCACTCAGCCAAAAGGTCTGCGTGTGGGAGTGGGGCTGTCTGAGACTTGTAGTCTGGAGCCAGTCTCGCTCCTTTCCACCATTTCCATTCCTCAATTTCTCTTGGGCCTCTGCCAGTAGGCAGGACCTCAAGCCAGTAGATTTCCACTGACTGTGATGAGAGCTGGGAGGTTCTCTGCCCCGGATCACAGCCTAAGCTGGAAGTGTGGCCCTTCTACAGGAGGAGTGTTGCCCCTTGAGCATGTTGCAGCTAGGACCCACTCCGATCTGTCCCTGAAGGCACATACACTTCAGTAGACTAGTTCACCAATATCCCTTCTGTGCCCCTGGGCAATGCGATCGAGACCTGGATGTACAGGATCTGGCCTTCAGGCCCGTCCCCGGTGCCCCGGAGATCAATCCCTGACCCTGCCAGGGAGAAGAGTGTTGGTCTCAAGTCATCCATGGAGTGCCCAAGCTGGATTAATGTCTCTCCTTCTTGGGATTTTCCCTGCTCTGCTGGAGTCACTAGGTAAGCAGCACTTAGGAGGGCAGGTGGGTAGGGAGCTCACAATCTGAATCCCCTTCAGTCTGCTATAGGGCCCCAAAAGGAAAGGTCCTGTTCCCTGTGGATGCCTCCAGGTGGTGCCTAAATTGTCTGTCTCAGAAGCTGTGGGTAGGTGAGCGGAAGGGAAGAATGAAGCAATATGGTGCCTGCAGATTGGCTTGGGTCTGTGGGGCAGGACATATGGTATCCCAAGGGAGCTGGAAACCCAGTGCCTTGTCCGCAAAAGGCTCAGTGCTCACTGGTGGCAATGGTCTCTGGGCTGGTGTTGGCAGGTCTCTCCAGCAGCTCAGGAGCCCACCAGCAGTTTGAGATGCAAGGTGGGGGGAAATTTAACCACTCCACCTACCCTTGTTTCTGGTCTACAAGCCTCTCTGGGTTTTTAGGATTATTTTAATGCTGCCAGATGTTCATGTCACTTTCAAAACAAGTTATTGTAAGTTACTTATATTTAAAATAAAATACATTTTATAGAAATTATAAAATTATTTTACAACATCATTCTTAAAAATTAATTTTTATCATAAAAGTATAACTAGTGAAATAAGTTGCTTAACTGGTAGTTTGAACATACTGCTAATGAAGGTACAGTTGTGGGTCTGATTCCCATGTAGGCAAGTCTATTTCCCTTTATTTAGCACCATCAAGTGATATTGTTCCCTCCCTGTTTTGCATATTCACACAGCTGATTATTGAATCTAATTGGATGCCTAGATTAGGATTGTAGTTCTGTCACTAATTAGTTGGATGACTTTGGGAAAATGACTGTGTCTCTAAATCTGAGGAGATAAATTAATAACATAAAGTAAATATCCACTATGTGTGAGGTTTGCTGAGAGTCCCCAAAGATACAAAGATAAGCAAAACTGAATATCACTGTTGCCCTCATAGACAAAGGAAGGCAGACATGAACCAAGTGGTATAACTAGGGAAAGAAATACAGCAATACAAATTAGAAGTACTGTGAAGGAGCAGTGCTTGCTGCTGAAAGAGGGGAACAGAGGAACTTAATTTATCTGAGCATGATGATTGTGCAGAGATCCGAAGGATGGAAGTCAAGTGAACCATGTGGTGGAGGCAGGTATGAGGAGGTGGAACAGCACAGAGAAAGGAAGAATCATTGTGTTTTTGTGAACCCTTAAGGTTGAAGCAGAGAGAACAATGCCCTTTCAAGGATCACAGTGTTTCTTCCCTCTTTATAATGTCTGTTGAGAACTTTTTTACAAGTTTGCATTTTTATAAAGTACCTTGGGTTCCTTTTCTCTCTCTCTTTCTCTCTTTCTCCTCTTTCTCTCTTCTCTCTCTCTCTCTCTCTCTCTCTCTCTCTCTCTCTGTCTCTCCTTCCTCCTCTTCTCTCCTCCCCTCCTCCTCCTCCTCATTCTTCTTCTTCTTTGCTTGTACTTATTACAGTACTTATAATTAAAGACTTAAATGATATTTACCTCCTTGTGTTTTGCTCCAGTGATCTATCTACAGTTGGTCCTTGCTTTGCATGTCTTTGATATGCATGCATTTCAGTTACCAATGTTTAGTTGAATAGCACAAGTTCTCCCAGCAATACAAATCAAATTTCAGTAGCCACAACATATAAACTATAAGTAATGTCATAAAGTCCAAATTTTGCTGCTAGCTTTTCCACAAATGGGTATGAAAATAACAAATGTGCATCATGATCACCAGTCACATCAGTTCTTTGAAAGTCTGTTGGTGATCAGCCATTGTTCATCTCTTCATTGGTTATTCAGTTTATACAAGACAGCAACTGGGTAGTTATAATGCCTCCTTGTCTCCCAGTGATAAACCCATGTGGCATTTTATGAAAGTGGATAGTCAAAAAAGGGAGTTGGACAACACAAATGACAGTACAGCAAAGAATTGAAGTGTGGCAACTCTGGAAATTAAATTAAATTAAATGTAAATGGAATTACAGAAGAAATGGCTGACCACAGGGATGTTAACATTTGTCAATTTAAAAGACTATAGATATGGAGCCAGAGGGACTCAGCAAAGGTAAACTTATTGATGTAAATGAGAAAAGGGGATGTGATATGATGAAAGGGATGGAGAAATAGAGAGGAAGTCATACTGTCAAAAGAGCTATACATTGAAAGGACTCTTGGAGATAGTTCACAACATTGATAAAATATTGAAGCTGATTCAACTGTTGAATAGAGTATGACAATTCACCAAGGCACACAACACGTGTGCTCCATGTTCTACATTATGCAATGAGAAGAAGGCATGCGCTGGTCCAACTACCTTTGATAAGTTTTTATTTTTAACAAAGAAAAAAGACACATTCATTCTTAAAGGAGTAAAACACATTCATTCTCAATATTTTATTGTTTTAAATTACAGTGTACTATATAATTATTAGTTCTCCTATAGTTTTCTATGTATTTATAGAGAAGAGAACAAAGGAGTTTTTAATATTTTGACAAACATTTTTAAAGGTCATGGGACAATCCTATTTTCTTCCATTGATTTTTAGCAACAACTTTGCATGGTTTCATCTTGCATGGTCACTTTTATGGCCTCACACTATCATGCAAAGCAGGAACAGTTTGTGAATTTCACTGAACCTAACCAACATAGCATTCTCAATGTTTCATGAAAGTGAGGTATTTTAGAATGTTGAAGGCATTTTCTGAGTTTACAAAACTCTCAATCTTGAAGGATCCTAAGTCAACAACAGACCTGGTACCTACTACCATGTTTCCCCCCAAATAAGACAGGGTCTTATATTTATTTTTCCTCAAGAAGACACGCTAGGACTTATTTTCAGGGGATGTGCTATTTTTTTTAAGTACGGAACAACAATCTACATTTATTCAAATATAGTTAAGTTGTCTTCTTCTGGAATATCATCATAATTCTACAAACCCTGAATTCCATCCTGAATTTCTTGCGACTCTATTTCCTTTAGAGCCCTTGGCCCCAATCTCTCATGTCGAAAAATAGAGCTCTCATGGGGCAGATGAGAAGGGCTGCTCCTCTTCTTTACTGCTCCGCAATGAAATGCATGGGTTGTACAGATATGCTGCGTAGCCACGCCCATTGCTAGGTCTTATTTTTGGGGCAGAGCTTATATTGCACAAATGCTTAGAAATCCTGCTATGGCTTATTTTATGGGTAGGTCTTATTTTCGGGGAAACACGGTATTAGTTCATTAAATCTTTAGAATATTATCAAAACATTAGAAACAAATTTTGGGCTTAAGCACCTCCAAAGTCATATAACTTCAAGATACACTGTAATTCAGTAAGTATAATGAAGATAGGAAAATCTGTCTATATTACATTTTATTGGGACTTAGTATTTTCTTTTATTTTTAACTGTAAAAGTATTGTTTCAAACATTCTAATCAAGAATACTCATGAATAAATGCACAAAATAGTCAAGAGATAATTTAAATCATAGAAAAACATGGATGAAAAATTCACATACCGGTTGTAGAAATCATCTCTGTAGTAATCATAGTCAAAGACATAACCACTAAGGAGGGAAACAAAGAAATTAGTTGGTACTTGTTTTAATAACATTAATTTTGGTACTAATTTATGATGTTTAAAATATATCAATGTCATTATGTATCCAAGGGGCTTTCCAAGATAATGTCCAATTTGATATAATATAATATAAAATTATTATTATATGTTTGACCATATAGGGACTGATAACAGTGTATGTGGTGAAAGAATAAAAGATGAGATCAGGTACCAAAATAAATATTTTTTAACACTTGTAATTAAATATGAATGAAGACTTTTTCCCTGCCAGATAAGCTGTAGTCTAGTTGTCCCTTCTTTCTAAGGTGATATAGTTATCATTTCTTCCTCAGATATGTACAATGAGGCTAAACAATGAACAAAATGTATTGAAATAAGATCAATGAAAAAGTTTCATGAACCATTCATTATAGAAAAGATAAATAAAAATGTGGTTTCCTCAGAAATTTAGCATTTTTTTAATTCTAAAAATTGTGAATTCAATAGTTTAAAAAGGAAAATTTAAAGATAAAAGCTATCTTAGCTGAATCTTACCAACGACAACTTCATCTTTTAGGGCATTTAAATTGGAATTAATAAATGCATTTCAATGATAACATTATTATGACTAAGCTCTCTTAAGGAATATATTAATATAATAAAAGTTGCCTCCATCCACTTGCACAGTTGAGTTTAGAAAGTACTTCAGATGCATTTCAATTTTAGTCATTAAACCAACTCTGTTAGATAACGTAACTAGAAGAAACTAAAGTGTGAAAGACTTAAGTAATTTGTTCAAATTCATATCCCCAGTAAGTTACAGAGCTGAGATTCGAGAAGACTTCTGAACCCACATCTGGAGCTGTTTTCGTGTTACCATGCAACCCTACTTGATCTGGAAGAAATCTTAGTGTTATGATGGATGAATGGCGTATTTGTACCAAAGGGGAGTTATTTTTGTGTTTATTTACTTATTTTTTATGGTAGTAAAATATACTACCATATATACTATAAAATAGTATGGTATTTTTATGGTAGTAAAATATACTACCATATATACTATAAAATATTAAACTTTCCATTCTCCTTATTATTATACAACTCAGTAGCATTAAGTACATTCACAAAGTTTCACAAACATCACCACTATCCATTCAAGAGCTTTTTTATCATCCCAAACAGAAACTTTGTACTCAATAAACAATAGCTTCCCATTCTTCATGCCTCGCCCCCCCCAGCTTTTGGTAATCTCTATTCTATTTTCTGTCTCTATGAATTTGCCTCTTCTATGTATTTCACAAATCATATAATCATGCAATATTTGCTCTGTCTAGCTTATTTCGCTTAGTATAATATTTTCAAGGTTCATCTATATTGTAGCACAAATTAGAATTTTATTCCTTTTTAAAGCTGAATAATACATGGGGTGTGATGTACATGCGTGTGTGTATGTACATGTGTGTGCATGTGTGTGTATCTCACACCCATATACCACTTTTTATCTATGAACTTATTAATAGACATCTAGGCTATTTCTACATTTTGGCTATTGTGAATATTGCTGCTATGAACATTGGTTTGAAAGGGTCCGAGTCCCTGGTTTCATCTTTTGGGTCTATACTTTTTAGAAGTGGAATTACTAGGTAATGTGACAATTCTATTAATATGTTTGACTTTTTAAGAAACCACTATATGATGGAGGAGTAATTTTATACTTCTGAATAAATTTCACAGACCTTTACTTTGTAACTTTTCTCATGTTGGAAAAATTAAAAGAACCTTACAAAGAAGGGCTTGTTATTCTGGATAAATGTATTTATATCTCCCACATTTCATTACTTTCAGGGGGACAAAAGCCTGACGTAGCACACATAATCCATGTGGGTAAATTCTCCAGTACTGTCTAATGGAGCACATGGTGTTTGGGGTCAAACACTGAAATGTAAAGTGGGAAACCACTCCCTGTGAGTGTCTGAATGGAAGACTGAGTATTGTCTGACCAAAGCAATGCTCTACCCAACTATGCAAACCAAGAGGACAATGAATCCATTGCCTAAAAGTAAGAATAAAAATAGCCACGTTTGTTTGACAGTCACGGATTGCTAAAATAGTAATTGTTTATGCTTTAATTTATATTGCTGATGTAGATACAATTATGACTTTGAGTTGAGGGATTTTAAAGATAATATACTGGCTACCATCAAACCCTAAGATACAAATGTCACCTCAAAACTTTCCTAATACAGCAGTACATATGCTTCTTTTATTGTGATTCACTTACTACTGCAGATAACAATGAGTATGGTGATACCTGTCAAACACTTTTACTGGGAAGTCTCAAGTTTAAAGTGAAGCTACTCTTATATTTGTCATGGGTAATCATCATTTTATCTTATGCTTGATTATTTTCAATAATATGTTGGTAGAAGATAAACATATGTTTAATAGCATTCAGGTTTGAATAACACATGAATGAAGTTCTCAATAATCAAAGCAAAAAAAAATAATTGAAAAGAATATATCATCTTAAGAACTTTGTATAGACTTTGTTTATAAAACATGGCATCTGAGGAGGGAAATATTCTAGTTATTGAAGCCCTACTCTTGGTGCTTTTATATGCATAATCTTATTTAACCCTGACAACAACCTAGAAGATGTATAGGATTCTCTCAATTTTACAGGACACTGAGGTCTGGAGATGCTATATATCCAAGATAGCACAGATTAGTATTACAGTATAGCATAGTCATTCATCAAAATTTGATGAAGATCATGTGTGCCAGGGACTATACTAAGCACTTAGGAATGAAGAAAAATAGCTTCTTTTTTTGGTGTGAATCTTACAGTCCAGTGATGACCAAGATGGCCTTAAGGTTCTCTTCAGCTTGACAAAACTTTAGACAAGTTTCTTCCTGACTACAGTCCCGACTCCTTTTTGTAGAGCATTTGCATTAGAAAACTTTCCATTATATATTCTTTCTCTGCTCCTTTGAGATGTAACTCTTCTCCCAGCGTCTTGCCAATTTTACAACCCAGCAATGTCTTTCTTAAGGACCTGGGAACCATCCCTTTGAAAAGTAATCTTCAAGGAAGCTATCTCCCAGTGACTATGCAGGATTCTAATTTAGGTAAATACCAATGAGCAAACACAGATGCCCTAATTCAGGCGCCCTCAAGCGCCCTCAAACTACGGCCCTTGGGCCACATGTGGCCCACTGAGGATATTTATCCGGCCTGCCTGGTGTTTTTGCCACTGCTGCCTGTCCTGCTTAGCAGCCGACTTGTCCTGGGCCCACAGTGCGCATGTGTGGAATGTGCGCCGCACTCTCCAATGGCCCTCCAATGGTCTGAGGGACAGTGAACTGGCCCCCTGTTTAAAAAGTTTGAGGACCCCCGTGCCTAATTACACTGTGGAATCTTTCCCTTCTTTCCACCAGCTTACTCTAGCTCTTAAAAACTCTCTTGCCTTTTGTTCAGTTAGGAGTTGAATTCAATTTCTGTCCCTTATTGCAATAGTCTTAAAGTCTTTGGCTGTTTAATTTTTCTGGTATAATTTTTCTTTGACAGAAAGTAAGCTAAGAAGCAAATGAATAATTTTGGAAACAAATGAGGTAGAAAAAAAACCAGATGGGACTATTTGAAGAGATGACTGAGGACTAGACTTTCTGAGGAGATGATGTGTAACTGAAGGTTTGAAAGACAAGAAAAGTCCTACCAAGAGCTGGGGAAAAAAAAGGTACAGACAGGGAACAGTAAGCCCAAAGGCACATGTCAAGAAAGACTTTGATAGCTTTAACGAAGTAAGAAGGTCCAGGGATACTGCCATCACTCAGACAAGAAATAACAATGTCTCAGGCTACACTGCAGCAGAAAAGATGGAGAGATGTAGAGAGATTCAAGACACGTTCTGGAGTTAGATGCACTAGAACTTATCACTGTTTTGGCTTGAGAAACTGGGGACATTGTATTATCTTTTGTTGAGCTGGGAAGATTGGGAGGAGGACATTCTAGAGGAAAATTCTAGAAATAAGTTTTGAATATGATAGCATATGCTATCATATGACATAGCCAAGAAACACTTTTGGAATAATTGGATACTAACTGATGGAGCGAAGCCCAAAAGACAAGGCTGGCTGGGAAACTAAGCTCTGTGAGAGGTGTGAGAACACTGAGGATACTGAGGCAACAAAAAGGTGAGATCTTTAGGAGTCAGTGTAGAGAGAGATCAAAGGCTGCTCCTGTGGATTTATTAGAACATAGAGGTCAAACGAGGAGGTGGAAACAGTGAAATAGTTAGGGCAGATGTGGGTAGGAAATAAAACTCAACACAAGGCAGCTCTTAGTGTAGACCCCAGCTTTCCACTTACTAGACATGACATTGAACCATGCGTCTAATTGTCCTGAACCTCTGGCAAAATGAGATTGTACAATGAACCCCTTTACTGAGCAGTTTTTCTCATAGTGAATGTCTTTTATCCGTTTTCATAGTGCTGAGATTTAAACACAGGTTTATTTGAAATCAAAGTCTGTCATTTTTTTCCTATTGTGTCATACTTCTTCAGACATTTGTTAATTAAAATAATCTTAATAATCTTAACATTTTAGTACATATAATTCTATTTTTCCTGAGGTGTTAAAGAGAGCAGTCTTATAGTTTATGATCAAAATTATGAGAACATTTAAAGATGTGTAAATTCTTTTAATATTTATATATGTCCTCTCTCCCCTTTTACAACTCTTTCAATCCCAAGCACCCTTTAGATCTTTGTTTCCCATTTCACTTTTCTGGTAGTGTCTAGCAATCAGAAATCTAATAATAACAATCATAATTATAACAGTAATAAAATAATGCTGAGCAGTTATTAATTCCAATAAGCATATTTGAGCATTTCCTATGTACTAGCCATGGTGCTAATCATATTAAATACATTAAATAACTATTGATTGATGGAACAATCATTTTCATACAATGAAATTTCTCAGTATTTTCAGATATAACTAAATAA